AAAGCCTCCGGAAGCAGTTGAGTCTCGACTCGAGCTCAGACAATCGACCCAGTAACCCATTTATTAGTATATTGACCACTCGAGCCATGGAGCATGCACGTTCGGGCGTCGCTCCTAATGGGATCGCTCACTCAGCTGTGCGAGAGCATCGCGCTTATCGCAAATCGCTCCCGTTTCGTTTAGCTTAGCTTGAGCCCGTTGTCCTTTGAGGAGACATTTCCTGGTTGTTCCCGGTTGATCAATGAGAGGGGACCAGTTCGATACGGACCGACCGGACGTGGCGTCAGGCAAGTGTAGGGGGGAAGGGGATGATGCTCGGAAAACTTGACTTTGACTCTGACTCGACTAAAATGCCCGATTTCTAGAGAGATCGGTTTCCGCGAGGGACGCCGATCGGGAATTCGGCGGGTGGAGTTCACATGCGAGGATGACACGTAAAGTCAGGCCTCGTTGTCACAACTCGCAAGTTGATAGCCTTTTAGGCCGAAACACGCAGCGCCTTTTGAACGCTCTGAGGCCGCGGTCAGTGGAACGTGCTTCTAGGTTGATTCTGCACGTCCAAGCTGCTGACCTGGATAATTCTTCGCGTCGGATCGCATGCTGTATTACGTTCTAGGGGCTCGATGAATCTCGGAGGAAGAACCTACCGGCGACTACCGTGAGACGATAGGGTCAGGTCGAATCGGGCCTAAGAGGTCGGACATCACCGCTGCCAGTGTCTCGAGTTCTGAAATTCGAAAATCGTCATGCTCGATTATGTTCCGGAAAAATACGGAGCCATTAGTAGCGCGTCGATGGAGCCGTTGTTTCGTGAGCGGCTAGTCGTTGCGTCATGGTTGCAAGCGGTGCAATGAATGAGTTTCTTCCCGACGCTGCGGAGCTCTAAAGCTGCCACTCTCTGTCCCCGGAGAATGTGACCCTGTGTACGCGTACTCCCTCGGCGGAGAGAAGTATCGACCGATAAGAAGTATCCGGCCGATGTTCCCTTTACATCCAAAGTTATTGTGAGCTGCAGAAGAATTAGTCGCGGAATGGATCTTTTACTGAATAGAGTCAGGTCGCGGACTGAAATAGCGCGGTTGAGTCTCAGGTCTCCTACTGATCCCTCAAACTTCCCAGATCGAATCTCACTCGACTCTCGAGGAAGTCCATTCGAGCTATCCACTTCAAGGACTCGGCAAACGACGCGGCGCACGTATCGGGTTTCCTCGGATCATCAGTTCGGCACTCCAGCGCGAAACGGTCAACGTCGGCGCAAGCTTCGGCTGGGAAATCCATCCGATCGCATCGAGAGCTTACTCGTAGCACTCGAGTGATGAAACATGTATAACACTCATTCTGAATGACGAGATGAGTCGCTTGTTCGGGACATTCATTAGCTCGTGAGTGTTTAAACTTCTGAAAGGAGACACGCGCCGTCATCTGCGGTCATGGACGGAGAGAACAGCTGAGGTTTTTTATCTTTTTAGATCGCAAGAAAGCGACAAAAGGCGGCGACGGGGGCGGAGGAGCGCTGTCCGTTCACTTACGGAGGAAAATTAATTTGGATTCATTCATCCACCTTATTAGCAAGCGCTGCACAAAGACACAGCCGCTGCGCTTTCATCGGAACAACGAACGACGATTTGCATGAAATACGATAAAAGATCGAAGTATGCCGAGAAGGCGTCGAATCGCTCCCGGGCCGCCGCCTCTTCTTCCGCCCCGATATTTCCCCAGCCTTCCATCAGATTTCCTCGTTCGTCGTTCCTCCGAAGAAGATCCACAATCTTCTCGCTCCGGGACACTCACCCCGATTCTCCCCGAGGAAATCCAGCTTGAGAACCGGTATCTCATTATGGGACCTCCGTCGCTCCGATCGAAACCTCTCATGCCTCCATTTTTTCTTCCCCAATCCGCGCGTCTCCCCAAAAGAGAAGAAACAAACTCAGGAATCCGATAAAGTCATTAGGTGCGAGAAAACATAATATCCATTCCGTGACCGCGGCCATGCCCCTTCGCGAGCACTCATGTCTTATCCGTACGGTGCTTGTAGTCGCCGATGTCGCTCCCATATTGTGCTGAGCGTCTCCCTGTCCTACCCCGGAGGCCTTCCGAGCAATGCGTTCCCGTCGCACGGGCGCCTCAGCGTCCAGAAGCGAATATTAACGATTCATCCCTCCAAACGCACCAAACTCAAACCGTATAAAACCGGTAATATATATTGTCTCTTCCGTACCTCGTAGACGTACGATATTCCGGAAGAAAAAAGAAAGGCAAAAGGGAAACGTACATATGACGATATGACGCGGACGAGGTCAGGACCCCTGCTGGAAAAGCACGAATTCTGTCATAGGCTGTCGTCTCTGAGATTTGTGGGCGGAGTAAGCGCTCAGGCTGTTGAGTCAGTTCGTCAAGCGAATGAATGTAGATTGATAGAAGGGAATCTGTGATCTCGGAAGTTGTTCGTCTTCGGCTCTCTTTCCATCTCTTCGGGTCGCAGGACGGACTAAGTACTCTAGGCGAGATTGATCCGGCAAGCACCTCCCTCCTAGGTGCTGCTGATGGTGATTGCTTTCATAGCTTTTTGTGAAACAACTCTCGACAGCCAGCCCGACACGAAGTCTCAAGAAGTTCTCACTTCGGCCACAATGATTGATGAGCGTCTCTTTCAAACAGAGAGGAGAACAGAGACAGAAGACCGTTCTGCCCGGTTCACACTGGGGCCCGAAACGGAGATGTGACGAGCTTGCCACGAGGCCGCTAATCGTGACTGCCGAACATTCTTCACAGGAATCAGTGTTAAGGTCGTCATCGATCGTGATTCAAAATCCTCGCAACGCTTTCGAGCACGCGGACAGATTCGTAAGTGAATCGACTCACGGCCCGAACCCTCTCCGTCGAGGTCCTGCCGACGAAATACCCAACGCGCGAACTCATTCCTGAGACTTCGCTGGTCGGGGAGAATGAAAGAGGAGAGGTCTCGATACCGGCTATCTCGACGAAAGCCGTTCCGAGATCCCGCCTCCGAAAGCATGATACTCGCCTCGTTATCCACGGCCAATGCCGGTACGATGTGTCATGGTGAGTTTCAGGGTTGGGATCCTTGTCCGTTTCTCCTCGATGTGTCAACACGTTGTATCGGAACTCGACGAGGCGCTGTTGACAACAAAGTCTCCTGCCGGCGTGTTTTGAATGGTGCTCCGTGCTGGACTCGTGTACCGTTGACGGGGCTCGAACTCTGTCCAGGAAGTACCGAGGGAGAGGTCCATGACACGCTTAGCGTGACTCGACATCCAACCCCTTCCCCGCATGCGGGTCGTTCGCGCGGCTCATACCGACCGGAACGATACGGAATGAAATAATCATTTATTCGTCCGTTCTTTCCCCGAGCCCGATCCGTCTCCTCGAGGGGACTTCCTGTTTGCTCGACAACTCAAAACGTTTACGAAAGATGAGTAGTGACTGATTGAGTCCAGTCCGAGCAATCTAGTTTCGAGAGCAATCGTCGCCTCTTAGGGAAATTCATCATCCGACGCTGCCTGAAGGTACGCTCGGCAGCGGCATGCGCTGTTGCGAATAATCAAGACTGTACTCTCCGTGCGTAGTCCGAAGGGGGCTATAGATTTCCGCGGGAAGGAATTCCGAACGATCGATAGCTCCACCGATTGAGCTGTAGCACTGAATGTCCGAAGATCATACATATGCAATTCTCCTCCGGATTACCTGGAAACGTTCACCGGGCTACCTATCCAGTCGGATACTTCAGAAGCTTGGCCCTCCGGGACGCCAATGACCTGTAGGGTAAAAGGAGGGTGAGAGAGGCGTCCGCGCCCCAGTGCCATCCCACTCCTCGAAACTTTCTCGTGAAAAGGTGCGCGAGGTCTGTCAACTTACACTGGGAATGTTCTAACACCGCTCGGAGACTGATTGCTGAGGGCCTCTTCGTTAGAATGAACCTTGCTGCGCAAATTTCTTCATAGAATCCCCTTGCACCTGTCTGTCCCGATTTTTATCTGATGATCAAACAGAGTTCGGAGCGAAGATTTCTGTGAGAGACCACGCTTTTTCTTCGACAGGCGTAAGCATGAAGGTGGATTCCTTTTGATCCCTATCTATCCCTCTGCATGGACCCCCGAAATTCTTCAAACAGAGATAGTCGGCAGCACAGAAAAATAAAGAAGCCGCGGCTTGAATTATATCTACGGATTCGTTTATTCCGACATATTTGCGTTTTGATATTGCAATGGTTCCCGTCGATTTACACAGTAACTCATTGATGATCCAAACAGATTCACGATCTACATAACTAGATTGAGGTTATGGAATAATTTCTATTGACCATGATGAACTCCGTTCCGAGAAGTTATACAGCTGCGCGGTTCATAGAAAATAAGTCTCTGGTTTTAGTAATGACTGTCATTATCAATTGCAAATAGTGTATTCGTATAGTATATATTACTCTCGTCAGGTTCCTAGAACATGGTGTGGAGCTCGGTGGCTCGAGGTACGATGAATGTATTTGACTGCTGTAGAACGTGAAAGACAGTCGGTTCGTGAGATGCTCCTCTCGGGGATTCTGACTGAATCTAAAAATATCGGCAGTATACAGAGTCCGTTCAAAAACTGATGGGGAAGAAACCGCGAGGACAATCATAAATGGGATAGAAGTAGTCAAGCTCACGCGAGTAAAAGACTCCACATATCCATATACATTCAGGTGCATTCAGTCAGCACTCACTCAAATTTCGAACACGGGGACGAGGGAAAGGGAAAGAACGGACGAACTCGTACCATGTATGGCAGCTTCGAGCTACAGTTTCAGCGTAAGCAGGGCAAATCCGAAGCCCGGACCGATCAGTCGGGAATGATTCGGTGCGATGCTCGAGTTGTGTTGACGAGTCAGTACTACTCCGATGCCTCGAAATCAGCGACATCTCTGAGTCCCATCTCGAATATGCCTCAAATGCCTCGCGACGCGATACGACAAACGTGCGGGGAAATTGAACAAGCAAGCTCGCTTAGAAAACCCACGACACAGGAACCCATTGTGGTTCGGTCCGTGTTTGCTCGATTAGGTCTTTCAGCTGATCGTAGGTCTTGTCGAACGCGTGGTTGACAATGGTTGCATCGAAATGAGCAGCGAATTGTCGCTCGAGCCTCGCACTCTCGTCGATGGTGCGCTTGAGATCCTCGTCCTGCAATAAGAGAGACGACGAAATATTAGTTGAGGATTTCAATCTCCTGTGAGACCATACTGCCTCGGATTGCGAGCGGGAGAGTTCGGATGATGGCATTTTTGAAGTGTTCCGCGAATGCGCACAAACACGCGCTCTGTCGACTGAATCGGACAGTTCACTCTCCCGATCCTGCAGACGAGCGCCGCATAAAGTAGGATAATGTCGGAGAGTTACATCGAACACTTGGGGCCGCTGTCCGTAGAAGACATAGGAAACAAAATTAAATTCTGAAACCGATTCTCAATGCGAGGATACGGACAGCTGAAAGACAGCCAGGCAAGCAGGCGGACGAGTCGGCCAGGGAGCGAGCGGTCGAATGAGCGAGCGGACGAACTGGCAGGCGGGCAGGCAGACAGGCGAATGGACGGACGATTGAGCGAACGAGCGAGCGTGCAGGCGGGCGGAGGGCAGGGGAAGGGATCGGTTCCAATTTCGAGTCGACTCAATACAATTTTCCCAGTCCCCACAATATTTCGTCCTCCTACTGCCATTGGCTTCGAAGTGAGAGAACAAGGAATGTCTTAGGCCCCTCCCCCCAGTCCCGGTCCCGAAGATGATTGTAGTCATGCTTGTTGTCGTCGACGACGAAGGCAGTACTGGGAGAGCGTATTCTCAGAGTCTTCCTAAGAGGGGCTCATTTGGGGAATTCAGGGTTCAGTGTGTCACATTCGCCAATGCTTTGTTTATCGGGAAGACGGAAATTCTCGCTATCGTTGCTGTCCTGAGTTCACAGAGCTATCACGAAGCCGAGGTGAAGAGAATCTTTTCCAAGGAACGGAATTTACTGCCCTCCTAAGGTGGAACCCCTCAGGAGGAACCGGAAAGGGTTGGCTCCAGACAGCTACATTCTCACTTCCACGAATTATGATAATTCGATGGCTAATGAAGTCTCGTCCTCCCCGACAAATCCAACTAGAGCTACACGCGTGCCTCACTGTCTCCCAAGCTTCGTTTCCCGCGTTGTTTCTGCTACGAGTTCATTTCCTCTCGTTTCACTTTGGAGAAACTGAATAGGAAGAATCGAGCGGGAGATAGCTCGAGAGAAGGGGAGAACCACTAGAAAGGATTTTGAGGCGCAACGAGATAGGGGGAAAGGATTGACGGACAGACGGACGGACGGACGGAGGGCCAGGAGCCAAGAGAGGCACAGCGCAGTTTTGAAGCGATTTCAACGATCTATACAACTCTAATCTTGAGCTTATTTGTACGGAGACGTGAACGGCATCTCGATCGGGTTTGAGAAAAACGCGTCAATGATGGGGCCCGGACGACTCTCGGTCGGTCCGCGAGGGGAGCGACGGGCGGCCGAGAGCGCATGCGACTGATCGAGAACTACGTGAGGAACATCGAAAAAACGTCATCTCGTCTGGTCAAATGAGAAGACACGTCCGGCGAGGGAAACGCAGTCCGATGGATTGTCGTCATTGAATTTCTTCGGAAAACAACTCATGAAATCCGAGGAAGGAATCTCCCGGTGGGAGTCTATTTCCGCTTCCCGGCAGCCCATACCGTGAGCGGTGTCGACGGGGGAATATCTTTGAGAAATCCTCTGTCGTACGCTTGCGCCCCACGTCCCGGACGTCTCTGAGATGCTGACCGCCGGATCGAGTTCCTCCGCCCGTCCACTCCGTTTGAATCAATCGATGGCTCAATAAATCAATGATAAATCATCGAGTAATTACGCGATCTCAGCTGTGTCCTCTCAATCTCGCGAGCAAGCGACTGTTACTCATGCAGCGAGGGATTGCCTGATTTCAATTGAAAGTTCTCCTCTCTGGCTCCGACGGAGATCACCACTAGGAACCGCACACGACAGCGGCTCAGAGATCTGGGGGGAGGGGCCCGCTACCGTGTCAGTTGTCCCGAGACCCGAAGTTCTGGCCATCGTGCTGAATAGCGCCAGCGTCGGAGTCAGTCCGAGAATCACAATCACTGTGAGAGTTGTGGATCTACCCTATGGTGATTCCAAAGTCCTTCCAAATTCTAGGAAATCGGTCACGCATAATCCAGCAATGGAAGATCCGGTCGAGGGTTCCGGCAGGGGCTCGCTCAACGTTCGAGTAAATAGGAATGCGAATTCGAATTGTTTGACTTACCTCTTGCAGTGATGCTAAGCTCTGAAGCGTGAGAGCTCGACGACTTTGACGGCTCATGGCGCGATCGAACTGTAATGAGCGGGATTTACATGATTTCGCGTAATAGCCACGACTTTCAAACACGCAGGTGATCGAGGAAACGGACGAGCAATGGGGAGGACTCATCCAGAAATGAAGCGGCAGAGATCCTTTGCCGCGACTTAAGGGATTGATTCGACCTCGGGCCAGGGGAGCCTACAGCATGCGTCAGGAATTGACTCTGACCCTCAATAATTACCTAGCAATGCCCTAACACGGAGTCGAGCATTTTCGAAGCTTATGAAATCACCCTTACGGTGTTCTAGGTATTTCATGACAAGCAGAACCTACCGTCAAATTCAAATCGAGTCTCCCGTATTTGCTTCCGTAACGGTTCCCGTCGTACAATCCTCGCAGCTCGGGCATTGGCGGAGCCGCGACGAAAACAACATACGACATGAATTCGGGACTCTTCAATATCTTGAGATACTGCAAGGAACGATATCCTATGAGATTTCCCCACCAAGTAGATCTCTCGAATCGATTATGTATTCATTTTTGCATTGGACCGCCGACACCGTCGACTTGATTTCGGGGACAATAAAGTCAAAACCACACGAGGATTCCTACAAGATGATATGCTCTGGGCTTTGCAGACCCAGATGGGTATTGACCTGCGATGGGTCGCTCACCTGTGGACTACAATCCAAGATGACCATTTTGTCTCGGCTCATTATTTCCCGAATTGAGTCGAGTTTGGTCCCGTAGAGGTGTCCACCGAACTCGCCCCACTCCAGGTATTTATTGTCCGCGATATCGGCCTCCATCTGCTCTCGACTAACGAAATGATACACTTTTCCGTCGATCTCATCCTCTCTGATCGGTCGGGACGTGTCTGAAACAGAACGTCTCTGCATCGTTATCGAGCGCGAAACATTTCTGTGAAGAAGGTGGGACAAGACCGATGAAAATTATCTTGAGCATTCGGATGCACTCGATGTCCAATAGCAAGTGATCAAATCGTGGGTCGCGGCTTCCGTGGTCCGCCGTCTCGCGATGGCAATTCAAGGTCAGAGGAAGAACATGCGAAAAATCTTCACTTTGTGCTCTTCATTGTTGTGCCAAAGAGATTCGAATCATCGGGAGGGCTGTAGTCTGGCGAGCGAGACTAAGAGGGGGCGACGTTTTTCCGTCAGTCTCCTGGGTCGTTTAGCGAGTAGAAGTTTTGAAAAATCTGTGACCCCCGGATCGCAGGTTTAAGGAGCGAGAAAGCGGCGAGAGCAAGGAAAAATGAGAGGCCCATAGATCGACCGTCAACTACGTGTTTTTGGAAAGTTTTCCGCCGGAGGGATGATTGATTGCGCACTTATGATGGCGGAATGGGGCTCGAGCAACACTGCGCCCACTGAACTTGAGCCGCATCTTCGAATATAGCCGATGCATGCGATTAGAAACGTTTTAGCACCAGAAGCGAGGCGTCGAGCAAGATGTGATCATGTCGAAGCGAGCGGAGGATCGTGTCACGCAACTCACGTGGCAGTGGCACTCCAAATAGACCGGGGTGTTCGTCGATCAACTGATTCCGGAGGGATCGTCGTCCGACACCGCTGGCTCCGACCAGCACGAGTGTTTTCCTTTCGAACGGTGGGACTTTCGTGACTTCTTCATAGAGAGCGAGCTCGGCCTTCTCGAATTCGTCGGCTAATCTCGTTTCGTAGAACGTCTTGCGCTTGTGCCGGGTGAGTTTCGTTCCGCACATCGCTGTGGATGAGAAGGAATATCAGATGAGTTTGCGTTTGTGCGTGTCGATGACGTTCAATCGAACCGGACCACTCGCTCGATCGTTGCTGCTCCTCGCGCTCCGATAATTTCCATGGACATGTTATTCTTTCCCTTTCAAAAATTTTCCAGCTGCGTTGTTTGGGATACTCTGTCACGTCGCGTGGGAGCAGAAGAAAACAAGTCGCGAGCGACATTTCAGAGCGTGACAGAATCGCGTGACACTCGCATCTGAAGAGCGTCCGTGACGAGCCGTGAGGGGCGCCGGACACAGCGCGCGTGCTCTGAATACGTCATGCCTATTTCTATGACGTCCGAGTCGTTCCGTAAAAATGTAGACATTCAGCGGATGGCAGTAAAAAGGGGAACGCAGGAGCTATGAAGAGGCCGCATCAGCGTCAAAGCAAACGGTACCCTCACGCGGAATGGGATGAGCTTGTTTGACCGAGGAACTGGATTCGAAGCCGAGTTTCCCGAAATGGCGCGGACGACCTCTCCATCTCAATGTTTCACTTTGTCGCCTAATATTCCTCGGGACGTCTCGGAACTCACTGGTGGTTGTGGCGTAGTCGAATTCGGCTGGAACGAAGGCCCTGCGTCGCTCTTCGAGTTCCTGGGACGGGATGAGTCCTGCGTGTCCCCTTGTTCCTAATTTACGCGCCTGCCACCAGTTGGGATCCTGGGTATTCAAGATCTGTAGGATATCACCCATACTGAAGGCCAGCCCGATGTCCTTGCACGGTAGCAGAGTATCTTTAGACGGATCGTACGAGTACAGGGTCTTCACGAAACTGTTGCTATGCATAGAGGTGTCGTGGGGTGACGGGATGACCTTGAAGGAAATCAGACGCACAATGAGGTCACCTGCTCCACATTTCGAAGAGTGTGCAGGGGGAGGGGAGGGGGTAGTGAAACTTTCGAACTTGAGCACCTTGAAGACTAAAGCGCCGGGTTTGGCTTTCCGGAGCATGATTTGTAGGTTCTCCGCCGTCGACGTTCTGACGTTGTTGACTTCCACAATCTTGTCTCCAACGTGTAACATGCCCTGTTTCTCGATCAGACCCCCGGCCAGGATCCGGGCTATTCGCACACGGCCAGACTCCGGGCAAGCGTCGACGGTTATCCCCTGGAATTATAACACACAGCATCATCAGTCTCTCCGCTATGGCCATATGTCAAGGCTGGAATTCGTCTCGGTCTTTTCCTTCCCATCATTCGATCCTTGAAGCGATCCCGTAAACCGTTCGTGTCGAGTCTGTTTCTGATACCATCGTGGAAGCTCTGAGCAGAGGTTCACATACGATGTGCGAGACGCTCCAGTCACCTCCACTCATTTCAAGGGCGGTTGCCATTTTCGGAAGCAGCAACGTCGTATGGCATTCCGTCATCTTGTTTTCTCGGAGACTTGCTCCAAACTGAACTTGAGCTCGGATGCCGAGAGGAGACATCACAAGCTTGACGCCAGGGGAATTTTCAGGACGCGTTTTCCTCCAACTCCGGTGATCATGACGTCGGGTCCCGATTGTTTGGTTCGAGGCTGTGCCTCTTAGCGAAACTATCTCTTTGCACACGAAAGATGCGTCGTGCCAGAGGGGAAGCCGAGCAGAAACGTGTGGAAATCGACAGATGATGAATAAATTCCCAGAATGGGGCTAACCGACCAATGCATGGAAGGTCTGGATTCATGGATCTCCTGCATTACGATTGTACGCAAGTCGCGCCCAAAGGTCTTTTGAGAATTTATGGACGTCTCCTCGAGTGAATATTTTACCCTAAGCCGTCTATGCGCCGGTCGGCAGCTGGGCGCCGAACTCTGGAGCATTGTAAGCTACGACGATGCTCTCTGATATGAAATATGGCAAAAACATGGAACGCAACAGAACTGGAACCTTGAGAAGGAAATCATGTACTTGGGAGCTTCACAGGCCTCCCCGATTTCCGGAAGGGGGAACTGGCTGCGAAATTCGGGGGAAAATCTCATCCCGTGAGGAGAGCTTGAATCTGACATTCCAAAAACTTACCAGGGGCTCTCCGTCAACTTTGCGAACAACGACGACCTTGAGCGACTCTGTAGCCAGGGAATCCTGCGAAGTGTCTTGTTCATCTTCGTCGTCCGAGCTTGTCTCTGGCTGATTTTTGTCGAAAGACTCATCCTCCGTCTCTGTGGCGCTCTCTTGTACTTTCTCATCGTCGGCCTGTTTCCGTAGAGTCATCAGGGCGACTTGATCGTGAGCGTCAAGCAGATTATCCACGTGAGGTGAACCGAGAATTTTCGCCAATTCCTGCGCTTCCTGGGAGGAAAAGAGATAAGTTTGGTTATCGGAAAGTTCGGAGCGAAGAATAACTTTTTCATGCAGCTCGAGTTTTTCAGAGCGACGGACTCGGCTCCGGATCCCCTGAATTTTCTGCAGATAGCAATCTCAGATGTCGACGCTTGAAGGAGACCGGAATCGTCATCGATATGTCATTTCGGAATTATGAGAGGCATCCTCGGATGAGAGCGGGAAAGAGAGGGATTCAGACGAATTTCCAGAGTTCCCGCTCACCTTATTGTACTTGTTTGCGCGGCACTGTCTGGCGACGTCGCGCGCAATTTCAACGGTTTTTACGTGCGCCGTGGTTGGGCCTTTTGAAAGATCCGCTTGTAGGCTAGACGATAGCGGGCCGCCAGGCTTCGATTCCTGCAATTCAAGCGGAGCCGGATGCTCTTAAGGGGTTTTCTGAGCAGTATCTCGGCATTCTCAAGCCTTATCATTGAGGATCGGGAATAGCTGACGTATCGGTCTCCTCCCGCAACGATGGAGGGCGCATTCCCCCGACGAGAATATCCATTTCCCGATTTAAGGTGGACTGAATCTCTCCAAAAAAATTCTCATCTGCCTCACACCGAGATAGCATAAAGATAACTGCGAGAGTAAATAACTAGGGCACGTACGGTCCGAGTGTGTATACGGAGCTCTCGGGTGACCACCTCGATTCTCTCGATTGTTTTGGAGTTCTCCTCAGGATCCTCGGGATAGCCAGGATTGTCACGACCTGAATAGCCGGCTGGAAAGGAACGAGAGAAGCGTGTCTGAGTTGAATTCCATTCCGGCCTCCTTGAACTTCGCATGATCTCGACTATGGAAATCCGTGACACCGAATAAGTGTCCCTTTACGGCGCAGGAAATCGTGCTTGAGGAAAAAACAGCTATTCAAGACGGCGCGGCGCGAAAGTGCGTTCCTAGTTCATACAGCATCTCGTTGGAGAATCCGCCGTGCCTCGGAAAGCCGAATTTCGACGCATTGTGCGCTGAATTCATTTCTTTGCTATTCTGTTCGGAGCGGCAATTTCTATTACTCGCGTTATCTCTCTCCCGCATCCGCACGCGGCCGACCTCGGTCCGGGATTCTCGGGGGGACTACTCGACAAGCTGCCTCGTGAGACCTTGAGGCATACGAAGACACCGATGCGGAGGTATGTCCATCGTTCCACTCTACGGCAGGGCGCCGATGGCTGGGATTCGCTTTTTCGAGTGCTGGAGTATTACTGCCGAGCTCTACGAAATCTCATCCGATACCATCGGTCAATTTTCATGACTCCATCAAAGCTATTCCAACTGCTGAGACCTCCAGGGCGAGATTCATCATGCCAGTAGGCCAACACCGGCCACTTCGGCGACGCGGCTCGCATGAAACCGTCGAGGCGCGCGTCGTTCGTACTCGCAGTGATGTAGGAGCGGCTTAATGGAACTCGCGAAAAGAGAGCGTTCGTCTCAGGTTAAATATCCCTTACGAAAAAATGAAGATGAGCCGACGACAAGCCGCATCTTCGTCGTCAACACCGCCCATGGAAGGGAAGACGAGTGCGATCCCTGAGCGGAATTCTCAGCAGATTCTCCCCGTTCGCCGAGGGAGTGAGTCGCGCCCGTCGACTTCATCAAGCCTTCCTTGAGGTAAGGACTGAAATCGCATGTTCACAGCGATGATGCAACCGAAGAACGCTCTTTTTGTCGCGACCGCCATTCATCTGGCGGACGGAGTGGAGGGAAAAACTCTGCGGGGACTCAAAACGTTGCAACCGGACGCTCTCTTCGTTCTCGGGACAAGACTCCGTCGGGACGCGAGTGAGTCGATGCGCAGTAAACGTGCCATTCAGAAAGCACGACGCATCTCGGAGTAGGACGCGGCTTCGGAATTCCCCGTCGCGTGAACCGCTGCGGTTCACGTCAGTGTTGAGACTCCCCGCCTGTGCCTATACTTCCAGGAGAGGGAGGAGGGGTGGGGGGAGCAGCCGACGGCCGGACGCGGAACAAAAAGGGCACGAAACGAAGCGGCGAAGGGAAAAGTCCCTTTTTCCTGTCGTTGAAAAGAATTGTGAGACGGAGCTTTCGGAAACTAACAGAATCGAGACGGAATCTGATTCGCGCGACCGTCAGTGTCTTCTGGAGCGAGAGCAGGAGAAACGAAGGCTCAGAGAGAAAACAGCGTGTCGGAGTTGAGAACGCGGGGGACGAGGAACAAGGAGGCGAGCGAGGGTAGAGAATTCGGGATAGGGGACGGTAACGACGGAGGGCGACGAAGACGAAGATCACGAGCGAGAACAGAAGGAGGCGTGTCCTATCCGTCGTTTGCAAAAGGATTTCGCAAACAAAGTGACAAAAGATGACATGGCATCGTGATCACCCAAGGCGTTCGAATCCAATAAGCCGGATACCACGTTGAGGTTCCACTTTTTTTTCACGTTTTTTTGCCACGGCTAGACGCGGGGAATCTCTCCCGACGTCGAGCGGTAACCACTCATGGATTCAAGATACACTTCAGAGAGCGGATGGGTGGCAGAGAAAATCGCAAACAAAATTGTTCGGATGTTTGTTCAGTCGAGCAGACATCCTCCTGGAATTCGTTACTCGGTCCCGCTAGTCGGCCGACCACTGGCCGCCACGAAGATATCCTGCTGTCTTGACCCCATTCCTGGTATCCTTAATGTTTTCCAACGTATTTTCTGCCTGGCTGTCAGTGAATGTGCGAGTATCACACCAAGTGACCAACCGGTGACTTAGCCGACGGGCCCGTGCGCAGACCGCCACCACCACCACCACCCGGCCGAGCCGCCGAAGTTCTCCATCACGGAAGGAAGAAGCCGTTCGGATGTAAGAGGGCAAGGAGTCAGCCAGCCGTTATAATTACCGTTTTATCCCCAGAACAGCGCAGAGGATATCGCTTACCCGGCCGCTCGAGTTTAGCCGCCTCGGTCGGCCAACCGGCCGGCCGGCCGTCCGCCCGCCCATCTGCTCTGACGGGGCTAACCCCGATGTACCCGACTGTGCTCCTCGCTTGCGTGCGTAGCTAGTTGGTGGGATAGCAGCGAGGTTTTTCCCCGTCCAGCGAAGGACAACTGGGATTAAGCTTCGGAGGCCGCGTCGTTCGCATCGTGCGTCATTGACTTTGTATTTAATTGCGACTGACTCGGCTACCCGCCGTCCGTTCCCCCATATGTTTGCTGTCTGTTCCTCCTAACCCGATTCGATCTTCCGTCGCGTCTCCTCGGCTTGCCCTCTCGCGGTTCCCCACCGAGCACCCACCCGCTCCCCCCCCCCCCGTACTCCGTCGGTTCATCTGCTATCGCTTATCTGATATCGGTGGAGTTACAAGTAGCACTCCCACGAAAGGATTTGCCACGCGTCGGGCAGCCGGGGGCAGCATCTTCTTATCGGGCGCGCTCCACCAGAGAGCGACGATAAGTTTCGGGATAAGGTATAGAATAAGGGATACAAGACGACCAGGACATGGGGATATGAGACCACTGACCGAAACATGAGAGCGGGATTAACAATCTTTTTTTCCCCGCTCGATAGGGCCTGGAAAGATGCGCCCCCTATATGGAGGACTGAACAATCACTAATTACGTGTAGCAAGAGCCAAAAGCTCAAGTTGGGTCGAAATCAACATTCAGCATTTGAAAAAGCGTGGAAGAGACGGGGAGCAGCGTAAGGTTCACTTCTCGGAAAGGACAGCGCAAGCGAGATAAACCCCTGTCCCTGCTCCCTGTCTCGCCGCCGACACGAGTTGTCGACTCGAACGACGAACAGATTGACAGACGACAAGGGAAAGGGGAAGCCAGGAAGAAACACGAGAGAACGCCATTCGAGCAATTTGTATTGTAATATAGGGTTGAGAAATTTGCAAGAGAGCTACGACTGAGCGAAGCGAGGACGCTTGGGCAGGCCAAGTTTCCTGCTGCTGAAGGGAAGGGGGGAGGCGCGCCGAGTCGGGCCCTTGCTCCCACCCAGACTCGCTGCGCAAGAAGGCGAGACGGAGATACGTTAAAGCTAACGCTTTAACGAAGACAGCTGCTAGTGGTTCCCCATCGTCTTTCCCCATCGCTCGCTGTACCAACTACTCGTGCCGCCGACACTAGTCCTGTTCCTTGCCCTGGCCTCCCCCGGCCGTGTTCTCTCCCCGTTCTGCTTCGCCGAATATCAATTCTCTTAAAAGGTTTTGTCGCTGCTTGATGCTCTTTTATTTCTCGGCGCCGTTGATGTCTCGACCAGCATGTCCTCCTGCGGCTAATCATTCTGATAACTCTCTGCAAATACAATTTACACTCGACAGTACGAATGTATGGACCGAGTCGACTGACGGACGACCAACTTATCAAGGAGCCGACAACTGGTCTGCCCTCGCCGCGGGAGTGGGCTGCTCCGCTCTTGACAAATGTCCACGGGGTTGTGTGTGATTCTTCCATTCTTCCCGTTTCCCTATCAGCGGAAGGCGGACTCGCTTCCTCGAAAACAAGGCCAGAAGGACCGCATGCTTTCCATCAGACGCACGGGTCAGAGTCGGGGGGCCATTGCTCATCCATGAACTCGGTCTCAAGAGAAGATCCGGAGAAACCCGAGACAGAACAGTCGGAGAGATACTGCTTGGGTATTTCTGCCGCGGTACCGTAGTGCACCGAATGAAAGCGAATGGTTTTGTAGTCTCCAGTGCCGTTTCTCTCGCATGATCGGCCGATCGCGGTCGCATTCCAATTCGTGGGGAGGTCTGACGGGACCGCGAATCAAGTAACACATTGGCGTGGCGTCAGATGTGGACGGTAATCAGTTCGCACATTTGGCAAGGGCTCTTCTATTGGAGTTAAATTCTCGAACCAGAGCGGATTTATTCCTTGGATCTTGAATGGACCTACTCTTTCTCCACAATGATAGCCGGGCAGATTGATTTCTCCGAAGAAATCACGAGCGAGTCTTTTGTGAGTTGCGGAAGAGTCAGTGATTGACGAACGAATTAGGCTTCTTTGAAATCTTCTCTCATATTGCCAAAGTCGGTCGGCTCAACGGTCGAACGAGTTATCCGAAAAGTTCTACGATATTCATCATCGGAGCTTGAATTATCCAAGAGAGACTCCCTAACGATTCTATTTCGCTTGTCTGTACGCTTTTTCGAGTGATTTCCTGAGGTCGCATTCAATGTTCAGTCTGGATGATGAGCTTCGAATGGAGCGAATCGAATGAATACAACAATTCAGGCACTGGCATTGTGCTCTCGAACGAGTTGGCGGTAATGGTTCTGAAGACCAACTTTTCCCTATCGACGCCAATCCGATGTTACATCAGAAAATCAGAAAACAACAAATCATGCGTGGAGTCGCTGTTGTAGATCGAGATATAGATACACATGGAATACTTGATGATACTTCGGAGATAATTTCCGAGGCTCATGCTAAATCAGAAGGGATTTTTCGAGGAGGAGTGAATATTCCCATCGCAGAACTGGATTGGAAGTCGAAGGATCCGAAGCATAGGAAGTTGTCGAAGTTATCCGAGAGAGCAGTCGCCCTTCTGGTCGCTCGATAATGCCGCCATTAAACTGCACAAGGCACCGCCATCTGCCGATCCGAATTCTACGGACAAGTATTATAGTTTCTGGCTCCTGTACTTGTTGTTCTTGCCTCGGCTTCTCCGAGATGAACAGAGATGACCGTGTGTTTTAGCCCGAGCCGATGTTCGCATCGGTCCAAGTCTCGAGCGACCGATAATGCGTTTCGTATGGCCATGGGAGACGGC